GGAGTTTAACTATTCTGCGGGTTGCGGGCTGCGGGCCGAAAAATGCGGGCTGCGGGCCGAAACTGCGGGCTGCGGGCCAAAAATTGCGGGCTGCGGGCCAAAAATTGCGGGCTGCGGGCCAAAAATTGCGGGCTGCGGGCCAAAAATTGCGGGCTGCGGGCCGAAAACTGCGGGCTGCGGGCCAAAAATTGCGGACTGCGGGCCGAAAAATGCGGGCTGCGGGCCGAAAAATGCGGGCTGCGGGCCGAAAAATGCGGGATGCGGGCAGAAAAATGCTAACACGATTGCAAGCCGCGGGTCTAGTTGCGGGCCTGACGAATTTAAAAAAAAAATTGTCAAATGTAAAGAAAATAACAATATTATTCAAAATTTTCTGTCTTTGAAGTATATTCTATGTCTAATGTTATTCGTAATCATATGCATACGAATTTTTCCTTAAATGCATTCTTTTTGTAATATCATGGAATCTCAGTTTATGAGTCGTACCAGACATTAAAACCTGTTTCGACCGGGATAACTGTACACCAATCCTAATAGTAGCACTATTTTCTATCCAGCAAACTGACCTGACGTCATTTTCGGAAGAGAGAAGAGGTGTTAAACCTGTTTTCCACTTCGACCGTATCGTAGCATTTTCTTTTGTGTTGAAATCATTAGTTCCACTCTAGCGCTCAGGAAACAAAGAAATACGCTACGTTTCGGTACACGGCAAAAAACGCCGAGCCCGCTGCTCAACAGGATTGAACAATGTTTTGCTGCCCACATTGTTCACACTTGTCAACAATATTGAACACTATTGTTGAGCCTGAATATTGTTCAATATTGTTGACAGCTATGAACAATGTGGGCAGCAAAACATTGTTCAATCCTGTTTTCATCAGTATTGCATCAACCTGAGCGTTTTTACGCGTGTACGATACGGTTGAAGTGGAAAGCGGCCTTTAAATGGCTATGTAACTAACACAAACCCTACACCTAGTCCCTACTCTAACCCCTAACCCCAATCCTAACTCTAACCCTAATCGAATTAATAAAAAAATGCAAAAAAGCGACTTTAGAAAATCGATAGGGCGGTTTGCTGGATGGAAAAAAGTGCTAACCGCCAAAATCATTGGAAAATCATAGGGAAAACCAAGAAATTCAATGGGCTTCGGTATGACCATTCTGTGCCCTGGTTATGATGCGCTACCGCTTATAACTTTTGGTACAACTGGCCTGAAACTTGAAATATTGATTCAATAAGTTTAATATCAATATATTTATTGAAAAATAGATATTATGTCAAAATAAGAAAACTTAAGATTCTCTCGCGAATAGGCAATGTTTTTATGAGCGACTGTTCATCGTTAGTTGCAAACGACGGTAATATAAACAAGGTCAAGGTTTTATCGAAAGCGATTGACTGTTGATTCCTTTTATACTATTTTATAACTAAATAATGTTATTTCCTACAAATTTAGCTTTATTGTAGCTTTATTGAAAGTATAAAAAAAACATGGAAACGGCGAATTACTATAGATTGAAAATAATTATTAAACTATGATTGAAATTATCGACGTAGAATGCTATTTCGTTGTATTAAATTTCAATAGTATTAATGAGAATTTCGAAGTGACTATATGACCGGCAGCCGGTCACGGTTTATCAAATACTAAATGGCCGGCAGTCTAGTGACTATTGTTAAAGTTGAATTTTTATAAGATAAACCTATCCCCAACCCCAAACCCTTTTCTAACCCTAACCCCTAACCCCTAACCCTAACCTTTTGAGAGTTAGAAAAGTCGGGAAAAAAAGTTTAAAAAATTTTAAGAAAAAACAATGCTAAGTCAGACAAAACACATCGCGACCCCGACTGCGCTTAACCAGGGCGTAGTAAAACACGGGCGGTGAAACGCGCTAATATTTGCCTGATCCATGTGTGATGCACGGGAGACTGGCGCGAGCGTGCGAAATGCGCGGATGAAGCGGGATTTTTAAAGATGAAGCGAAGCCTCTCTCCTCCGCAGAGGCTTTATAATTGGCTATGAAGGCGCCAAGCCTCTGCACGATTCCACACCCAATATGGCGGTAAACCGGGGGGGGGGGGCGTATAATTATCAAACGCAAAATTCAAGTCAAATTCAAAATGACTGAGAAAACTTTTATTTAAATTTATATTTGACATTTGTATTTTTAGAAATGTGTCCAAAACCGCATAAAAGAAAAAAAATGAGTATGTATAGCATACAGAACCATTATTAAATTTATTATCAAGACTGAAAATACAATTCAACTATTTCAACTTCAGCAATATTTATAAACAAACGCGACCTTCAGTCGGTTTCGACCTGATTTATTTGGAGGTTCGTATCTTTGGTTCAATATACGCTATGTAGATGAAAATACCACCGTTCGATTCAGTACAAAAATATCTCCTAGTTTCTATCGATAGTTTTAGTGAAATGTCAACACTATAGCGATTTATGACCTGTGAAAGTCAAGCGGGATTTTGTATATTAATATCAAATCACGCAATGTTTATACTTGATAAAAATATAAACTAGGCATACCTTTCGGCGAACATAACTTCGGCTCCTTGGGACGCATCCTCTTTGTATTACTCTTGTTCGAAAGCGAATTCAAAACACTACTTAAAGTGTTATTTTTGAGCTTGTATCTTGAAAACTTCATCTTTTATTATGGTATTTCCATTCCTGGTCTGATTGTGAACTAATTCCCGAACATCAGCGTGACAGGCGCGTGCGACTGTGCGAGTAAAAACCCGATATTTTGAAAAATTAAAAATAAATATTTCTACTGGCCGTATTCAAAAGAAATTTTCTACACGAAAGCGCTTGAATACAAGGAGTATTTTACTTCTTTGACTGGTGGCGAATTCCGAAGAGTTCAAGAAATATTCAAGTTTTTCTCGATACGAAATACAGAATGTTTGGCCAAGCGGTGAGTAAAATATACGATTGTTTGCTTTGTGTATTAAATGTTAAAAAAATATTACTTTTGACCATCCACAAACATGCAAGCACTAGTCAATGAGGTCAAT